GCACATCCCCAGCTCATCCTATCTGAGGATTGCAAATATGTGAGGCATGGAGATACACAGCAGGATTTACCTGACAATCCTGGGAGATACGACACTTATCACTGTGTGCTGGGCTGTGAGGGCTTCTCTTCTGGGAGACATTGCTGGGGGGTAAAGGCAGCTGATGCGGAAGTCTGGGCTATGGGGGTTGCGAGAGACTCTATGAAGAGGAAGGGATGGATCAGTCCCACACCTGAGGAGGGGATCTGGGCTATTTTTCAATGTGAGGGTGAGTACTGGGTTCTCACATCCCCTAATCACACACCCCTGCCCCTGAGCCAGCCCCCAGAGCTGGACTATGAGTTGGGCCAGGTGGCATTTTTTGATGTTGGCAATCAAGTCCCGATCTTCACTTTCCAGACTGCGTTTTTTACGGGGGAGAGAATCCGCCCTTGGTTCCGGGTTGTTCCAATAGCTTATCTCGAGCTATGTCCCATAGCTCTGGAATGAAATATCCAAGTGAAATTGGGACTGTAGCCTCAGGCTTGTCTGTGTGGCTCTGCAGCAGGGGTCAGAAACCTATGGCAATGACTGGGTCACAAGTGGTGGCCCGCTACTCAGAGGTTGACCACCCCTGCTCTGCAAGACTTGTGCCTTCCTGCAGATGTTCCCACTGTCTACTCTCTATGACCCTAGAGACTCCTTGAGTATGAACTGCCCATCCAGGGAGAGCAGGAAGTTGGCAAGATGCAGATGTCAGTCCTGTCTCCCAGTTGAGTGTGCAGCCTGTTTGTTGTTCTGTTCCAAGAGGACACGTGGTGTACGGCAGATTTGACAGAATGGAAAACAGTGCTAAAAATGCCGCTCTGATTCTTCCTTAGTTCATCCATTTAATTAATAAGGGGAGCTATTTCAGTGCTTTAAAGAAGAGCTTATGTAATTTTTTTCACACTGTTTTTATTATTTAATAGTCAGTTGCAAGTAATGTGATAGCCTCATAACTGGTAAATAAAACATTTTTGACAGATACAAAATTCTCCTTGGACTGCTTGTCCGTATGAGCATCCTCACTCGGGGACATGTGTCTCAAGTATTCAGTCTCAGATGGTTTCTACCCCACTGCATGCCCTAACCCCATTCTTTTACATGCTTGGATCTGAAGACGTAAAAAGAGTCAAGGATTTTTAAGGTGATATTTTTTTATTGGACCAAGTATGTGAGGGGTGGGCTAGTACTTGTGCCTGAGGGCCACATACAGAGTTTTGATGAGCTGTCATGGGCCAGGTCAGCACCCCCCAATTCTCGCCCCACCCGCACAACAACTTGCCAAAACTCTCTCTGGGGCTGTGGGTGGGCAGGGAGCAGTGTTTGGGAGCAGGACAGGCAGGCAAGGCTAGGAACATGGGGCCGAGTCATAGGGTGTTTCCAGCTCGGGGCCAGGGCTTAGCCAAGGTGCAGTCTTCTCCCTGCATGCTCTGCCCTGTGGGGTGGGGTGTGTGTCTGTATGGGGGAATGTGTGGGGGGCAATGTGTGTGTGTGCATGAGGGGGTGCTGCCTGGGCACTAGGTCTCAGGAGCCAGCTGGGGGTGAGGGGAGGGAGGAGGCAGGGGGTGCATGTAGCAGAGCTCACCCAGGTGATTCGGTCCACAGCTTCCCCATAGTGCTCCGCATAGGGTCGAGCACCACGGGGGCAGCTGCAAACCTCAGCATCCAAGCAAGCTCTGCTGCACATGCCCCATGCTTCCCTCTCCCTCCCCTCACCCTCAGCTTCAGCCTGCACCCGCTAGCCCAATCCTGACCTCGACCAGCGGGCAGCTTCCAGCAGGGCTGTTCCTGGTGTGGCTGCAGCTGGCTGGGTGCTGCTCCACTCCCCTCGCCTCC